ATCAAAATTTGATGTTTATATTTTATTGATGGCACATTGCAATTAATTCTTCTGGAATTTGGTAGAGTTTTTCAAGTTTTTCTGCTTTTGCTAGAGCTGGGTTGTTTGTGGGTTTTGGGTGGGTTTTGTTGCAGCTTTGGGTTTTGGGAGTTTCTTTCTGTGCTGCCCTTTATAAGTCATGCTCTCATTAATTTTACTTATCATGCTTTGTCAAGACACTTGCAGGACTGGAGCATTCTTTAAATCCAAGGGCTTTCTATTCTTACTATTTGAGCTTCATTGAACACTTAAACAGTGCTTAAAAGCTGCAGCAAATTTTCTGTCATTTTAGAAAATGTTATTTTGGTTGTTGACAGTAATTTTCTTTGTCTGGCTGTGAAATTCCTCCAAGTTTCTGCCCCTAACGTGGTTTAAAAAGATTTGGGAAGTGGTGTATGTATTGGAGGTATCTTTATTTATCAACAGAGAAATCAAATTTTAAAAAGACATTTAGGAAAATTAGGGGATCTTTTTTGAAGGAATAAAGAAATGGTATGTTGGGTGACAGAAAGTGGCAGAAACACTTTCTGTTTCATTGGAATGCAAGCCTAAATGATTGGCTTAACAGAAAAATTAATATACTCAGTAATCTTTTTTAGCCTACATGACATTCTTTGTTCTCAAAAGACTGACTCTTCAGTGTCCTATGACATCATGATATGTAGCATACTAGTGAGACTCTGAATTCTTGTAGATCCAATTATGGAAAGTCAGGTAAGTGGCATTTTTCTTAATTATATTGCGCAGCTTTTAAGTTACACACTGTTGATCTACAGATACACTGGAAAATTGTAGGAGAAAAGCATAATATAATATTAAAAAGCTGCTTACCCACCTTCCTGTTTGTGCATGGTGCATTCCATGCATGGTGTGGTGGGCATGAAGCCCCTGGACACTGTACAGTGGGACACACAGCTGGTTGAGAACTGGGTCAGACAGTCCTGTGTGTGTCTGAGACACAAAAGGACAAACAGAAGGGCAGCTGTTACTCAGCTTCTGATCTCTGAGAGCACTGCTTGTTCGCTTTGGTGCTGTTTGACCACTGATGTTCAAACTCAGGTTTTCTCAAGGCGGAAGGCCGGTGACACAGGCTGGGAATCACTGCAAAGCTATCCTGGTTTGCTAGTGCCAATACCCTTTTCCCCTACCATATCAACAAGCATCATCAGTGACTTATTTAGCTTACAGAACTAAAAGCTGCTCTAAACAGTAGTATCTTGTGGACTTTGGTTTTGTTCTATACCTGTGCTCCAGTAACAAAGAAACTTCACAAAAAGGGCTGCAACAAACTGAGGTTAACATTATAGCTACAGTAGGAGCTAGGGAGCTGGAGCAGAAATAATGTTACATAGCTTTGTTGTTCTATAAACAATTTCCAAATGCCAGTATTGTTTACAAAGCAAATTCTATGTCTAAAAATGATGCAGAGCAGAAAAGCACTGTTTAATTTGATCATGGTATGTCAAACCTGTAATTTCATTTCTTCTCTCTTGAAAGTAATCATGTGACTGCTCTGTGGTGTATGTGTTACAGATTATTTTTCATCAGAAAGTGACACATAAGTAGTACTTAGGATAGATTTCTGTCCATAGTGGCGTTCAGATTTTAGGCGTATTTGTTCTAGCATTAGTTTATAAGACAGATGTATTTTAAATCTTTTTTAAAACAAAAGGTATTTTAATTTATGGGTGTCCACTGTATGCCCTACTGGATCTAGGAAGAATCTTGCTCATACTTCATGGGAGAAAATGCAGCTTTGGGAATAGATAAACACTGGGATTTCAATCAACATCCCAACATCATTATTTTTCCTGAAAATCTTTGCAGGATAAGAACAGAAATTTGACTAAAGCAACTCCATAGTCTTAGCTGTTGTAGCATCATCACTTGCCATAGGAAATTATAAGTAAAGTTGTGGGTATAAAAACACAGGGTATCCATAACGTTACACCAGGGGCAGAAGTTGTAATTCCCAAGTTGTTTCTACAAAATTCTTCTTCCTTTTTTCCTTCCCAGTGGAAGTAGAAGTTAAGGTGTACTCTCGAACTTCAGTTTGAGGAAAGCTGTGCATGTTTCATCCCAGTTGCAGAGGAACTTTGACAAGGCAAGAAAAGTGTTTTAATATCACCTTCAATACCACCCTTGCCTGTCATAATGAGAAAGATGCCTGTTTAGTGACTGCTTTTTCACAGTTCAAGCCAGCTGCCTCCAGCTAGTCCTTTCTTTGGGTAGATCAATCACCAAATTACATCTATATCTCTTGGGAAATTCAGTGTGTGAGAGCAGTAAGCACAAACATAAGTGAAAATTCCCTATTTCAAATTTTTCACTGACTTTGAAAGATTTGCTAGTCATCCTGGTAATATTTAACAACCATAAATAAAGAGCACTCTTTATTACTTAAATAAACAGCAAAGCATTTTTATTAATTGTTAGGCTTAAAACCAAATCTTTTTTCTCATATCTAGGATTGGTCCTCTAAATAAGTTCATAAGTATGTTCTCCTGGCAATGTAGGTAATTTATGATACAGCCAGAGGTGTAATAGTTCTGTGAATAAATAGAAGCTTTTAGCTTCCAGGGATACAAAGTGTTTTTCATGAATATTAAGTAAATTTTAATGATTGAAGAAAAGAGCAAAGTGGAGGACAGTCGTTCATACTCTGTCTAAACTGGCCTACAGCCACATTAATGTTTATAACAGATTTGGAGCATAGCTAAAATAACAGTAAGCATTTCCTTCTCATTTTCATACCTTTTTCATCACTATTTAAACATACATGTAACTAAAAGGGTGAAGGCTGTCTGCTTGTTTACTGCAATTTACAGGACTAATTAAAGAAAAACTGAAAGTAACTGTAATCAATGCTGTTTGAGAAGTAGTGATAGATGGCAATTGAATGGTTTGAGTCTATTAATTGCAATGAGATTATACTAGTTGAGATACCTCTCATGTCAGATGCTTGAAATATTAGTTATTTCACGGACAAATTGGATTATAAATTATTAGTAAATCTCTACTGAGGTGATTAAACCCACTTACTAATTGTCAAACATGAGTACTATTTCAAGTTGTAACTCCGTCATTTGTATACTGGAAAGGGAGTTAAGAGGTAAATTTAGGGGCTGTATGGGAATATTTGGAATAACTAGTACTTTTGAGACTGAGCATTTCCTGTGCTTTCTACTTCCATAATGAATTTTTGTTCAGCCTTCAAGTTTTCACAGACCACCACCGGCCTTTTCAGCTGACTGGAAGATGTTCTTGAGAGGAAGGAAGCCACTTCTTTGAGGTGGACTTACTGACTTGCTTAACCACATGGGGGAGATAAAAAACAGCAGATCTGAGCAGCCTTCACACAGGCCACAAATATAGTTATGGCATCCTTGAATTTCCTCTGCAGGGTCTGCCATTGCCTGACAGTACTGCTCTCAGTAAAGCAATATTTTTTTCCCAGTACAATGAAGAAAACATATTGCACTGCATGGGTCTTCTTTGTAATACCACCCTGTGCCATTCTTCTTATCATTAATCAAATGTTGCTTACTGAAACAGATACAGGATTGCTTAATGGTTTGGTATTGGGTGTATTGAGCTTTAAGGAATGACAAATGGGAACAGTAGAAGCTGAGGAATAGTTCAGTAGTTTTAAAAAATTCCTATCAACTTGTTTGTGTAGCTATTAAATTTCACTGTGAATTTGCACTCTCAGATGCACATACTGACACTTAAAGGATTCCAATCCCCTGCACATTATAATAAAAAAAAGCTGAAAGGCTAAAGTGTGTACATTCAAAGTGGTGAAGGAAAAAAGGAAGAGGACATCTTTTTCTATTTCTTTTCTCCCATCAGTGTTGTTTCATTCCAAGCTTGAGGCCTTCTCATCACTATGTTGTATGTGGCATGTGGATATTTTTAGGAGGATGTTAGCAGGGCAGTGGGCATTTTGGATAACTATTTTTTACTCTTAATTTTTTACATAAAAGGTTTGGTTTGGTCATTGCAAAACTTGGCATTCTGGTTTTTTATATGTGCTATTAAAAGTGCAATCAACCATGGCAAATACTCCCCAAAAATGTTCTGTTGGTAACTAAAATAATAAATAGCTGCAGTTTATGCAAAATAAAACTTCTGTGATGGGCATCACAGTTCCTCTTACATGCCTTGAGCTGGAGCTAGGATTCAGAGGCAGGAGGGCTCCTGTTTTCATTCTGCTTTCATTTTTGTCCTGTGATGTTTCCATTTTTATTTGGTTTTAATTATTTCTTTTAGTTGAGGAACAATTCTCTCCTCCTCACTCTTGCTGAGTATCTGACATTTGGATTCTGCTCAACTGCTGAAGTAGTTTGGTTCTTTTTTCTTTTTGTTTTGCTTCTCTGTCAATGCTCAAAAAGTGTTCCTCTTTTGGTGTTGTGACTTGTGGCATACAGTGACTTCTTCCCTTCCTCCCAGCATGAGTCTTTCCTCTGCTGCTTGTAAAAGGCAAGGTCACCTGGCTGCTGCTGGGAATAGCCTAAGTATACACAGGATGTGTTGGCTCCTTGTCTAGACATCCCAGGCGTCAGTCCACTTCACAGAGCTGTCTGTGGGTGATGCCATATTTAGCAAACTTCTAGAGATGCTGATTGCCTGAAAGCTCCCACATCTCCCCTCCACATAAGCTCCTTCCTCAGGCTGCCCACTGCAAATGCATGTATGGCAAGGTATTAAAAGTGGAAGATTATCAGTCTTTGATGTTTAAAGAGATGTGATAGTCATTAAAAAATCCATAGCCCACCATCATTCCTCTATTCATTAAAAAACCTGTAGCATACATTTCGGTCATCCTTAAACAAATTGTCTCTTAAAGGACTAAACTTTCCAGTTATTTCAGATAGTTGTCTCAACTATTTATAAGAAAATAAATCTATTTCAGTGTCACTTGTACCCCCATGCCTACCTCCAGAGGGTACATGTGGTTGTTGCCTGTCTTTTTTGCCAGAGGGACTTACAGCATTTTATGTCACTTTTACTTACTGCATCACAGAAACCCCTGTTTGCATGCTGCATGCCCCCTCTAGCACCCTCTAGGTGAAGAAGCATGAATCATCAGTCATTCCTTTACAATTTGGTGTTGAAATAGAGGTCCGATGTCCATGGAAGTTGCAGCATTTTAACAGTGTTCAGCTCAGGAAGGAGTGTCAGAATTTCATCCCTTCTTTTTTAACCTTACTCACATTTTCCATAAAGCTGTATAATTGTTAACACACAGTTATGAAGTGTGTAGTATAAATGACATTTCAGTTAGGGTAGGACATGTTGGAGCATTATGGTTGATTCAAGTGAGTGATAACACTACATATGATTTGAATGTCTTTTCTTGTGGGGGAGGGAAGAGCTTTTGGCTTTTTAATGTCTTGTCTTTTAAATTAAAGTAAAAGTTAATTGCCTAAGCCATAACAAGAGTTTTAACAGAGGTTTGCTGCTACCCTGCTCTCTCACATGGCCACCTCCCCCTGTTGAATGTGGGTGTAGCAGGCTGCCTCGCTGCAGGTGAGGAGCTCTGAATCAGCACTTTGTGTTTGCTCAAGGCTCAGTAATGTAAGGTGTGGCTGTAAATACAGCCCAGCAGGGAAGGGCAAAGCCGCCTGAGAATTTTGGTCTTAACATAATGCTCCTTTCCTGTAGCACATCGTTTGTCACTTAGGAAGCAGTTGTAGCCTAAAATGAGAATGAAATGTCATCTTCTAAAATAAACACATAGAGGGCAAAGTGAAGAAAAGTGTAAGTCATTCCATGAGAGGAAAGTAATCACAGCAATGCTTTTGTTTTCTAAAACTGGGTTTGAAGCATGCCTCCTTCACATTAGGCAGTTCCCTGAATGATCATTTTCAGTCTATTTTTGCATGTCTGGGATTAAGAAAAATATTGTTCCACATATATAACTGTTTGTTCCAATACACAAAGGTAGCAACCTCTTCAGAAAGCTTTTCTGTAGAATAAGGCAGATAGCACAGGTTATATATAGTTCTTTCTGTGAATACTGATGATTGCTGACTTTGTGATAATGCATATAAAAGAGATTTTTTTTGTATTTATTGTCTCCTGTGCTGTCACACAGGTAACATCCACACAGGCAGATATTCCTATCAATGCTCAGGCTGTTGCATCACTTTTTGGGTGGCAAATGCTTTGAAGAATGGGGAGAACTGTGGGTTCCTTCACCAGCCTCTTGTTCCTTGCTGTTATCAGGCATCCATCAAAACCATTGCCAACACTGAGCTATAGCTGGTGAAGTTTTTAATCGATGTGCAAGGCACCTACAGTTATTACACTACAGGTATTGATGATGCATTACCTTCTGCTACCACCTCGTATATGCCCAGTGCCCATATAGAAGTATGGTCAGTTTCTTCATGAAAATGCATTAATCTTTTGCAGGTTATTGTTTGTGTGTACATTTGGTTTTGGGGTACTGAAAAAACTTCTGTGTTTCACTATACAGATTGTTAGGGCTACATCTACTGTATTTGGATCTCAGTTTTGCTCTGCAGGTAGTAAGAGTGGTGTTCTGCTTTGTAGAGTATGCCCAGAAGTAAACAGGAGTTTCCAGTGAAGACTTCTGGTTTACCCCATTATTTTATTATTACGAATAATATTAGAATAATATTAGAATGCATCATAGCCAAACTAAAACATACATGCTGTTCTATGTCAACTTTACTTTTGGCAATAGAGTTGTAGTAACCATTGATATCTGAGAAAACACCTGATAATGGAGCTATAATGTGAAGCAAAATATGCTTCAGATTTGACTGGAAACAAGTTCAGAGATCTGGTGTGACATTTTAAGTTACCTACAGTGAAACCTGTGATCATTTCTGATTGTAAATCGATGGAGAATTCTTCACAGTAATCATAATCGTGTTGGCATCACAGAACTGCTGTGGCAGTGAATTGTGATTTTTTTAGAACCACATTGTTACATCAAGGAGATCATTAGAGCTGAGCAATCCAACCAAAACAACATGAACAAATGAAACTGCTTGTTTAACAGCACTCTGCCAATCAGTGTTGTATAACATGTTTCAGTCTGCAAAGGCATCTCTGAGGACTGAGGTATTAGACAGAGAAGTAGAGTGAGAGAAGGAGTCAATCTGATAGTTGCTGGACAATCTGGGTGAGGTAAAACTCATCCCGATGCAGTTGTTCTGTTTTCTGCATGACAACAAATTAATTGGAAATGTCTGTTTAAGTAAAGTGAGAAACCAATAAAGTTTCATTTAATAGGATTGTACCCATACTAACTGGGCCAGTATTCAGTAATTATCTGTACTTTTAAAAAAATTCTCAAGCATAGCAATTAATTTTCTTAAAAAGACATGCCAGTGTATAAAAATATTTTTCTTCTTTCTTTAATAGTGTATGTTTGCTGCTAAACAAAAGTTCACTCAAAGAACAATTTATTTATAAAAGCTTGACTTACTCTTCTTTACCTTTAGTAAAAGAGATTTTTTTAAATTAGATTTTTTTGTATTAGTTGATGTTACCTTGATGCTAGCAAAAATAACAGCTTGAAAATTATAATTAAAAGAAAAGAAGTACCACCTGTAAGTTTGGTGCTACACCAAACATTACTCATAATGGTAAAGAAATTCAGTTACTAGAAAATTATTTAATAAAATATAAGTTTATAGTTGCCCTAATTAATATTCACTTTCTATATTTTTTAAGTGACTTCTGCCTTTCTTTTTTAATTAAGCAATAGAAAAAAAGGCTGGGCAGGGTATTTTCTTTTCCAAATACATAGGTAAACAACAGAAATAACTAATATGCCTGTTACAGTGGATTATTTTCCTTTATTCTACTAAAAGTATATTGGTGAAGCTTGCCCTTTGTGCCTGGGTCTCCCTTGATGTGTTGTTGTTTAACTTTTCATCAGTGCCTGCAGGTCTGTGATCAATCACTGATTAAACTTTTTGGGGCAATTATGATGTGTTCAACCTTCGGTCATAGCAGAGGGTAGCCTAGTTGCCATTTTCATGCTGTGTTGTAAGATAATGAATTGAACATACAGGAGAAGAAAAATGGAGGAAATATTAAAATTCTTTCTTGTGCAAATATTTGAATATTATCACATTCCTATCATTTTCTCCTGCAAATCATTTTGATGGAGTTGAGAACAGGACGTGACCAGTCTACAATATGAATAGCAGAAATCTGTATATGTATGTTTTGCAGGCAGAGCTTCACTGAGTGGAACAAGGGGTCTCATACAATGACAGAACATGGCAGAAAATCCTTCATAGAATGCAGTAAAATTTTGGGGGAAATATTCTGGTATATTTAATTCTTGCCGTAATTAAAGGGTCTTTCAGAGCAATAATTAATGTGGAATCCAGAGGTTCACTGTGGGAACTGTTTCTTTCACATTTATACTGACAAGATTGATTGGAACTAAAATGTATTTATATGACAGAAGTTCTAAAAATACAAAATGTGCTGTAAACCCTGTGTAATTCAGCATAACAATGTCAAGTCATCTTTTGTGGCTTTGGTTTTGCATTTTTAACATTGCTTTAACATGTTAGCAATTTTGTATTTTATTCTGTAGGGGGAAAAAAGAAAAGAGGCAGTTTCTGGTCTTATGAATTATATTCTGCTAGAATCAGAATTCTCTCCTGAGTCTGACTTCCATAACAGGTTAGAATAGCGGTCGTTCTGATCTCTTGGGGCTTCCAATTATGATTTTTTTTAAAGTTTACTGAGCTAGTGTTTGAGGCAATATAGAATTCAGAAATGCAGCCCATCAGCAGTTTGCTGAATTTGAGTTTCTGCCTGCAGAATATTAAGGAAGTATAATGAAGTTTAGTAAAATACATTGAGCCATTCTGCAGCTATATATTGCTGCTGCAAAAATATTACAATTAGTTTGTAGAAAATAAAATATTATCATCCTATTAACATGAAATAAAATCTGTCCTAAAATTCATAAACAAAATCAAATTATAAATGCCAATATGTGAAATCAGGGGGAGGAAGTAGTAGGATGCAGTTTTTTGGTGCATCCTTTTTACTAATTTTGCCATACAGGAAGTACAAAGGGAAGGCAGCTTTAGAAGATTCAAGGCAGAGTCTCCCCTGGCTTTCCTTTGTTCTCCAGCACCTCTCCAAGGCTCTTACATATTCTGCTGAGACAGACTGGTGTGTGCCTGCTTCACAGAGGAAGTACATTTTGGAAATGAGACGTTAGAAGGAAGTAGTTCACAGTTGCTGCTTTTGGAGAGGAGGAAGCCCTGTTAATAGGGAAAATGATGAAAGAAAAGGAAGACTCAAGGGCACAAGTGTAAAGGATGAAATAATGGCTAGAATGAAGCAGAGTGGGAAAGGAAAAATAGTTACTGCTGCATTCCCTCAATTTTTCAAGATTTTCAGCTCTCTGGTATTATTTATATGGATTTGACCATTATGTAGAAGGAAACTGCAGAGAGATGCCAGTCTTTGCCAATTAGTGTCTGTGTAAGAAGTAACCTACTTTTTAATTATGTTTATCTTTCTTCTAGGCTTCTGTCCCAAATATGTCGGCTTTTACCACCTCCTTTTGTATGCCCTGATATCAGGCAAAAAGATGTACCCTGTTTTGTAGTTGATATTTTGACATAGATACAAAATTACATAAGTGTTACAGAGACAATTTTCAGCCTGTGGTAGTTGTATCTATTCTACCCATCCTACCATTGTACAAGACATGTTAAATCAGAGCAGGTTCCTTAGAATCAGTCTCTGCTTGAAAGATGTATGTTGATTTGGTATATAAGTGAAACATAAAAAGAAAGACACCACCAGGTTTTTTGTGTGCTTTTTCCCTGTGTAATTAAGGTCTTGTGTTGATTTCACAGTTCCGTATATTGGCGTTAGTCAATGTCAGTAGCTCTTTCAGAAACCAAGGGAAATTGAAATTACTTTTTTCTGTAATAAATTAAATTGTTTGGCTGTAGTGTCCAATTAGCACCAGTCCAATTACAAGATAACCTGGTGCAGGAAACTAGGAAGCAATACATCTTGCTTCCTAGGAAGAAACTTCATTGTATTTTTAATAAGTGCTATTAAGGAAGACTTCTTTGGGAGCAGGTTTCACTGAGGGTTTGTTCATTATCAGCTCAAGGTGAAGCCAAGGGGAACCTTTCTTATTTCATACCAGAATTGATTTTTAAAAAAGAATAAATAACAAGTGCATGCACAGGGGGTTGGTGCATGTATTAAAAAGTGGAGTTGCCACTGGTAACACAGCTGATTTCCTTTGTGAGAAAAGTTGTTGTTCATTACTTACCTGAAGTGAAAGGTTAATGGCCTGTAGCAATCTGAAGAAACCCCTACAAAAATGCACAGCAAGGATCTAATGTGGTACAATAGTGCTTTCCATGTGCTTTTCCTCAGGTAAGACTGACACAGAAGATAGCGTTTGCTATGAAAAGAAGTACCCAGTAAACTGGAAAATGAAAAGGTCCCTGCCACTGTTAAACAGACAGCTGTCACCACAGGCACAAATTTTGATTTCTTTACTGAGGTTTGCGAAACGTGCTGGTCATGCTCTGTATAGAACTGCTGAACTACTCCTTAAGAAGCATTTTCGATGTAGTAGAAGTGTAGTAGAAGTAACTTATTTTGTAGTTGTATCTTTTGCTTTAATTGCTTTCTCAATAGCTTAAAACTGTTACTTTGGCACACTTCTTTTTTTTCTTGCAGTTTGAACACAATTAAAATTGAGATCTTTGGTGTGTTTGATACTGGGATATTATGAAGAATTTTGTTGTCTCTTGAGCACTTCAGGGACATCAATTAGGCGCCTCACTGAGACGCCTGTGATATCAGATGAAGCCAAGTCACTCAACAGCTGAGGAGAAAATGCTGTTTATGTGTTTCAAACCAGAGAATAATTTAATGGGTATACACTGCAACCATCAGTCTGTCATTGAAGAAAACCTTAAGTTGGCACTGCCTCTGGAAATTACAGTGCTGCCTGGTCCCTTATGTATGTGCAAGTAAGTGGTGTAGTACTTGGGAAAGGGAACCATACTGGCTAGGAAGCAGTTTTTTCCAGGCAGGTACCAGAGTGATGGTGGCTAAGTAGCTTAGCCACTTTTCAAGTCACTTCACCAAAAAGCTGTACAGATTTTGATGTCGGCAGGAGCAGAAAGGGAAAGGGAAAATGCAGGAAGAGGCATGACTGCTTACTTTGAGTGACAGGCATAGCCAGTAAAAGGATAAAATGTGCATCAAATGAAAGCTGATTTTTACAGCTGTGAAATACCATTCCTCATCTTCTAAAAGATGCAACTTAGTTTAGTCAAAGGTATCCAAAGAGCAGTAGTGCTGGTACAAGTTCCAACATGGAGTTGGTTTCCCAATAAAGGCATCCAGGCAGCCCCCAAACCAGAGGAACCATGCCTTACAAGGGGTTCATGGCAGAGGGGGGAGCTCATGGTGGCCTGCACTGCTACAAAGAGCAACCTCAACCAAATCAAGTGGGTGGGGACTCCTCAGGGCCATGACTGCTCAGGCTATAAAGATAACAACAAGGAAGTGGTCCCCAGTGCTTCTGAATAACAATTCTGCCAGGGCTAACTTGAAGTGAAGCCACACACTAAATCATCAGAACTTTTTTTGCAGCACTCAGATTTTCCTCCCATGCTGACCAGTCTCAGCTGGACCATAGCTTGAGTTGGGTATTAAATACATATCAGCAGTTTCAATTTATTTAGTGCCAGGTGCTGCCAAAATGTCCTTTTTGTCAATGATATCACCATAGCATTGGAATACTGTGTGAAATTACTTTTTAATCTGCCCTACAAGCCAATAGCTGAGATCGGCTAACATAGATCACAGATCACAGTGATAACATAGATCACAGATCTAACACAGATAACATGGATCACAGTCTGTTTGAACCTTAAAGTATTGCTTTAGTCTCACTTTTCCATATTGAGTAAAAATTCCTATAAGGCATGGATCTTTATCTTGATTTCCTGGAGTAATATTTGATGAACCTACAAATTTTGACCATATCACTTAATAGACATGTATGCTTTCCTGACATAATTGAAAATTTTTACCCCGGTTTTCTACCTGCTTTTGGCACATACCTTCCTCCCCAATCTTCTTCCTTCTCCAGCGTTGTCATTTCACTTACTGTAATTGTTTCTTACTTCCTGTTCAGTAGATTTTGTTTAATTAGTTACAGAACTCATGCTACAGACGTTCAAACTTCGTTGCTGTACAGAGAGATGGGGCTGGAAAGAGCTTTGGGAGTGCAGACCAAGGAGAGCAGCTGAGCTAAGTCTGATAAAACAGAACCTTCTGGTGAAAGTTGCTTCTGTCTTGGCTGAGGTGCATCAACCAGCTGCAGGGATATCCCCATCCTGCTGCAGTGCAAATAAGAGCTACTGGCACTTAAGTAAGCCTTTTTCATTTTGCGTAATGGTAGACTAGGAGTGCAGCTGCAGGCGGGTGCTGTACGTCAGCTGGAAGGTTAGAACTTGTACTCCATTTCAATGTGTACTTAGAGTTGTCAGGCCATGTGTCATGATGGAAATGTTCTTGGAACTGGCTGTGTGAAAAAGCAGCTTGTAAATTAGCTTTGGGGAAAACCCTCAGTGACAAAGGTTGTATGGTGAAACTGATTGTCATAGGGCATGGGAAAAAAATACACTTATTACACAGGGAATAGTGAGGAAAACTGCAGGCTTGCTCAGCGCCACTGCAGCTCACAAATACATCCCTACCAAAGCAATGAAATACACCATTTCTGTGTGATGGTTGCATTGTACACAATTGCCCTTCAGCTGTGTGTAATGTATGTATTAGTTTTGGTTTTAGCTGCCATTCTTAAAAGGAACAGCGTAAAAGGGAAGAACAAATCACTTTATTTTCCATATGTGAGTCTTTTCCTTCTGCATAATCCTTCTCTACTTCAGTGAATGGTTTGTAAATCCCATTGCTCCTACCTGGGAGTTAGCTTTCTTTTGACTTGTCAGTTTGCAGCAGCCTTTCCCTAATGATGTATGCAAATAAATCTGGGAGCAGTACTTCAGATAATCCTCCTTATATGCATAAAGATGTTTGCTTTCTACATTTTCCCTTATTTATTTTATGTGCTATTCATTTAGCTCAACTGAGGAGGAATGCAGGGAAGGGAGGGAAAATAGTAGCATATGACTAAGTTAAACAAGAGTGGACAAGAGGTTATGTATTAATAGAGAATAATAAATTTCAACTACAAGATTCCAAAGAGAAACCTTTACAAGGTTTTGCAAATATTTTTTAAGTCATTGCTGGTAGAACTGTTGCTTTTCATTCTGAACTTGTAGATTGCATGTTGTGCCCTTGCTTTTTATCCTAGTAGCTAAAGTACTTGCAAATAGATCAAATATAGTAAATATTATAAATATAAATTTTCTATTTGTTCTGGAGGGCTTTGTTGCACTTCTATGTGTTTACTTCAGCTTGTTGTTTGGTAAAGATGTTTTCAGTGTCAAAATAAGCAGCTCCTCCCTTTTCTTTTGTGATGCTGTCTCAATTTGTAAAGCCAAAACAGTGATCTAGATCAACAAAGCTGATCCAGCTGAAAAATGCCATGTGGAAGGAAATACCAGGTGGAAATACCTTCCTTGTGGAAGGTATGAGGTCCTGCATTTTGCCTTCTTGCCTCATGGCAATGGAATTATACACTGTAATAATAAAGGAATAAGGATGGTTAGAGAAAGAATTGATGGAGCTGGTGCAAGCAGCACCACCAAATAGGTATGGGCTCAAACATCACCACCCCCAAAAGATGTAGCTCTTCTCAGGAGCTGAAAAAGTGAAGTAATGTCTGCATTATTCATTGAGCATACCTCTTCAAACATATCAGGAAATCAAAATAGTTTGTGTCAAGGACCTGATTTCTGCTTTGTATATGCTTTATGTTTTGGTTTTTTTACTGCGTCTTGATGGCTTAATGCCCAATTACTGCTGTAGCACAGTTCTGGAGGTCTCCCAGGCAGCTTAGAGCAGAATCCAGCCCATGGGCCACAATGTGAAACCAAGTATGGGGAGTGAAGAAATTCACTTTGTGTTCCATGTACAAAGTAAAACATCAGTGTAGTTGCTTGACTTGCTTGTCCACAGTGACAAAAGTGTGTGGTCAAACAATGACTTAGCAATGGCCTTTCTAGTCATACCAGCATGTTACAACTTCCAGGCAAGCCTCCTTCTTGATTCCCTCTATTAAGGTTAAGAGAAACCTTAAGTTAGAATAGGAGGATGGTTTAATAACTAGCAGGCTCTAGGTGTATACACAACTGAGTTGTGCTTCTGCCAGTGTGAGAGTTCAGCAGCTCCTACCTGTGACACAAGTGATATTTAATTGGTGTATTTATGCATATTGAAGTATATGGTAGTGTAAAGGATAGGGACTTGCATTACAGTTTTGGCAAACCTGAGCTGAAAGAAAAAACAGCATAGGTGGCTGAAAGTAGTCATAAGATATTCCATTTCATGTCTGCAGAAACCATTAGACAGTGGTTATTAGAAAGTTGTTATTACTACATCAGATTCACTTGGGGAGTTAGTTTCTGTAATGCTCACTGAAACAATGATTCTTCTGTTTTTAAGTGGAGCCCGTGCCAAGGGCAGATATGTTTTTGTGCAGCCATGAGATGGATTTGTTAACAGTAAAGATGTAGATTCTCTCAGTGGCTTCTGTTTCCCTTCTGCCAGCTCAGCACAGTAAGCAAACAGCAGCATGGCTGTCATTTTCTGTCCATGATTGCCAAAATTCAGCCTTATCACAAATGTAGAATGCTGGTTTCTTGCTGGCAGTAAACAAACATGACAAATTTTTATATGGTAAGTCAGAAGATCAAAATATGACCTATGACACATTGCAACACACAAGCAGCTTAAATGCACCACTTCATAATAAGTGAACCTTTGAAACTTTTTGCAAAGCTTAGGAGGGCACTGGGCCGTACAACTCTTTGATCAAGTCTGGGTTTTAGAGCACAATACATGTGATTGGTCAGTGTTTCCTCATGGGTGCTTTCTTACATTACTGCAAGAAATGAAACAAAAGTCTCACAACTTTTTTTTTGTCTGCTTAAAAAGCACAGCTTGTGTATAACAACGTTTCACAGCACCAATCAGCCCTGTAATCACATTTGTTCTGGAATGGTAGCAGAATCCTTTACAGCCATCACTAGACTATTACAGGGTCATTTATTGATCTTTGTTCTCCATGAAGAACCACAGTTTTATTGATTCATCTACCATTTACAAGTCTCTATCTTGGTCTTAAAACCTTTCTTTATTGGTTAATTTCATAGTTTCTGTTTGGTTTATTGTTGTATTTTCTCAGTCTTCAGTGGCAGAGACGTAAACAGATGTGAATAGGTAATCTTATAAATCTGAATCTTTCCAAGAGAATTCAGTCTCTCCAAGAAAATTTATTTTTTCTATACATGGATATTTTTGAGCTTACTGAGGCAACCAGTTTGTCTTAAGCCTGTGGCAGCCTCTGTGTTTCTAGAAAGTCTAAAATAGAACAGCTTTAAAATTCTTTAAAGTCTCAAATTTAATTAAAAAATCATAAAAACAAATTTAAAAATATTACCTCCTAAACAACATTTTATCCACGTAAAGAAAATGGATTCAGCAAGAACAACATCTAACTTCCACCATTTCCTCCACTAAATCTGCAGAACAAGGCTCTTCCTGAAAAGTACGTCCTTTATAGTAACAATTGGTCCATGAATTCAAAGTTTAGTAGGGCTAAACCACCACCATTAACTTCTTATTTGTCCTATAAAATGTGTTTTTCCTGCTGAGCTGCACTGCTGTTATTTTTGCCCATGATGAACCTGGTGGAAGTTTGGCCGTGCAGCTGCAGCTCCATTTATATATTGTATCTGGAAGGTCCCACTGCCGAAGGCTGTGATGAGGCCTTGGTGACTAGAAATAGACTGAGCTAATGCTGTGCCTTGTACCTCCCAGGACAGAAATGCCATGGTTTGCCCAGTTTGAATGAACGCATTGTTTCTTGTTTTATGATGAGGAGTGTGCTGAGAAAAACAAGAGTTTCTGGAAAGATTGTTAGTGCCTCTGTAGAGAGGTCCTGAGTTTCAGTCAGTGGCTTACTTGGACTGGGTGTGAATTTTCAGTCTGTTTCTAATGGATCCAGATGTGAGTAGGTGGTTTTCTGGGGCAGTCTCGGGAGTTTCAGAGTGTTTACAGTATAAAAGGCAGACTGCACCTGAAATTCAATTTTTTAATTTTTGCATTGGTCCAAGACACTTGCATGTTCAGTCTTAGGAATTCTAAATAAGCAATGTATTGACAGAAGAACATCTGAATTTCAAAGTGACTATACCTGAAAACTGTGTAATATCTTTCACTTACTGTCATTTATCTCAGCAGGTGGTAAACTTAACATTTTTAGATGTTTTGAAAAGTATCATCACTGGCTTACCCTGGATGACTTACACACACACTTTGGAAAGCATCAGTATTACTGCTGAGAAGTGCACTTTCTTCAAATAAGACTGGTTTACAGTTTCTCATTCTTTAGTAAAGTGTATGTTTATCCTCTGGGATTAAGTAATTTTCTGCTATGGTTATGTTGCCCTTGAAAAAAAATATATACATTCAAATCATCCTGGGGGTTTAGATTCCTGTTTGCTAATGAGTACAGACTTCAAATAAGACTTAACTTTCTTCCCCACAGTTAAAACAACCTGTCTTGCTTTTGCAAATCAGTGGCTTTAAATCTTTTCGAAGAGCAGATATGTGAGAGATGCTTCAATGTTTTGTTTAGTTGCTGCTTTTTGTGATTTACTGAAGCTGATGATTTACATGTATGCACTGGCAATCAGTATATGCATTGTTGATGTTCTGGGAATGTCAAATTCCAGCATAATTCTGTGCATTATTGTCCAGCACCTCTTTTTTTTTGCTTAAATTTGTTGTGGATAATTTGTTGTGGATTTATATCATAAATTAAGAGCTTAAAATGTACTTGTGGTTTTTATATCGATTCAGTTGTCAATTTGCCAAGTATCTTCCTCTCCACTACCTCCTCCTCAGTATCTGCTTTTCGGTGTTCACAAGTGAAAGTTTTATACATTGGTCCACGTGTAAATAAATAGCTTATCATTTCATTTCACTACTAGTGTCTACATTTAATGGTTACTCTAAGTGAGCAAAACAGCCAATTGCCACTGACTAAGCTGTGGAGGAGCAGGTGTGGAGAACCCATCTTTCTGAACTCCGTAGCACTTGCAAGTGGTTCAGGCATGACTCATCTCCTACACCCAGCAGCACATCTTGTCGAAACTAGGGATGCTGAGTGTCTCAGTAAACTCCCAGGACTTGTGAAGCCTCTTCAGGAATACAGTTGGACTCCCAGCTCTGTCTCTGTCATTCTCTGTTCAGCACTGTGTGCAGCATGTGATCTACCAGCTCTTTGGCTGGATTTTTATAGGACTGAGCACACTGGCTACCATGCCTGTAGCAATTATCCAGCTTTCTGAAGCTGCTTGGATTCTAGAAAACTCTTGTGTAAGCAAGAAACATAAGCAATTATAGCTGGTAACATCCTGCTTTAGGTAATCTGCCGTTCTCCGTACCACTTTCAGTAATGTGTTTTTCAGTTTTTCTATGCATATGCTTCCAGTTTTTCACAGTTCACAAGTGGATATTTACATAATTAAGGGGGAAATTTCCAGTGTGCATTTGAAAAATATTTCAAGTGACATAGAAATGGTGAAAAAATACCAACTAACTTACTTCTTTCCCCATTCACCCCAGAAAATTGCTTGTTAAAGATGAAGTAGTCAGCACCATCAGATGGACCAGATACAATATCATAGTTCCCAGTATTTTGTCCTGGTAATGGTAAAGATATTATTTTTCTACTCCCATTGTTCTAGATTCATTTTTCTAAATATCTTCTGCTAGCTTATAGCTGTGAATACAGTCTAATATGAAGGTCTGTTCTGCATATTCTACATCAGATTCAACCTGTATCACTTAGTCCTTATTTTTGAAAGCTTACCTGATCAATTCCCAGCTATCACTCAGTTTCTAATTTCTGCTGTGAAACAGAAAAATGGACAAGCTATTTCTATGTTATACGTACAGATGTATACTGGCTGGTAGGAAAGTACAATAGTGAATTCCCTTCTTCTCCAGGACACTTTCAGTCCAAAGGGCAGTAAAAACCACTATGAAAAGTGTTTACAGGATTTATGAACTGATAGTTGGATCCTGTCACAAAAGAAGGTGAAAAACAAAACAGGGAATGGGCATCTGTGGGGACTGGTTGCTTGGTTAGTGGTTTTAGAGGTTTATGGAAAAGCTTGTCAAATGATAAGGTGACCACAGACTCCACTGGATCATATTTTAAAAGGTAAAGTACTTGATCTTTCTGACTTCAGTATTTCTTCCTTTGAAGTTTTAAGACACTACGTGTACTTCTTGGTCAGAGATGTCAAGTATTCAGAGGCTGGTCTGTCTGTGTGTGCTTCTTGTGTGATTTTTTTCAGGGACAAGAATGAAATTCACACCAATTTTTTCGAGATGGGTTTCCACTGAGAATGTGGATCAAAGATCAGTAAATAACAATCCACATAAACAAACTTTGTAAGAACCAGGCTTTAAGCATGAAGACAGTAATAGCCATTTTGCTGTTAATGTTGTGTATGAAAGGCTCAGCACCATAAACCGTACAAATTGGCAACCAAAAGAATATGCTTCATGCTGTCTTCCATTGTCATGCTAATAAATCTTGCTTCTAGGTTTGTATATGGTAGAAATCTTCCTATTTCATCTACATACCTCTCTAGAAAGGGTGAAATTCACTACTGAGAAACTAAAGCCACAGCAGTCATTATAAATGCAGTTCATTTAAGAAAGGTATTTCTTGCCTAAATAACTACCATTTAGCATTATATTAATCTGTCTTGTGAAACTGGATTATTATTCTTGATTCAGTCACAAAAAAAGTTCCCAGTTCCTTTTACTTAACAGAACAGGGTCAGCCAAAGAGTCAGAGAAGAAGAGGATGTGATCTTCATGGATCTGAAAGAATCATAACTTATGCAAGAACACTTTTGCTGTTGTTGTTGTTCTTCTTGCTGTTGTTGGCTAGGTATTCCAAAGTAGTGAGACCTGGGAAGATAATAGTGATATTATATAAGCTGTTCTACATAAGACCACAACAACAAATCCTCTTCCACACTAGCACACCAGCATTTCTATTATTTAGAGGCTACAGTGGTAGGTAAACATATATCTTGATTTTTGATGGTGCATATGGAAAGATGCAGTCATTTAGGCCTGCACAATGTTAGGTATATCAGAGAGAAAAGTACAGAATTATAGCTTATGTCCTAATATACCCTTTTTTTCTCATAAGAAAATATTTTATAATGCTTGCAAGTCCTGTTGCTAATTGTACTGTAAATTGTACAGTGGAATATGTACAGTGTGCATCCAAAAAGTTGGAAATCAAATGTGCTAATTTTAGTGATATCTCAAAGGGTCAAATCTTAGTAATAATGTAAAGAAGAGCACCCACTCACCACCACCTCCTCTTCTCCTACGTGAAAACCTGTTTCAGATTTGATTCTGTTGTGCTGTTTAATACACAGAGTGGTATTAATGGTTTGAATATGTGTAGAATTAAAAGTTTGTTTTCATGGATTGCAAATATTTTTAATAAATATTCCAGGCTTGATGTTACTGTAGAGTTGTACCATACCCTTAATGCTAGTGAGTTGCCTAGTAAGGTCAGTGAAATGAAAATATTTGCTCTGGCATGCAAGCAAGTTCTAAAAGAGCTTAGGCAATATTTCTGCTGCAGAAAGTGTCAATTTAGAACTGCCCAAGTTCTTCTCTAACTTGTGAGTTTTATTTTTCTAAAATAAAATAAAACTGTTTTGTTGTTCTTGATCTGTCTTCCATATGGAATTATTTTTAGCAAATATGCTGCATGACTCTGTATTATATTGTTTTGTTGTGTTGGTGGGATTTTTTATTTATTTCAAGGCCACTCTGTGCTGTCTCAGAAAATACAGAAGGAAAACAACTTAGGGAATTTGAGCTATGTGTTAAAAGTCATCTATTAAATGTAACCTGATTTAAGTTACTCAGTTAATGAACATATACAAGAAATAGATTGGTCATTCTGCTTTGTGTCTTAATTATTGTGGGGAGAAAAGAGCCTATACAAGTATTTGAACTCTCTGCTGCCACAGTCTCATGACCATTGAAGGTCAGTGAGGTGAGGGGACCTCCTGGAGTCAGAACCCCTGCATTTCCTTTACAAAGCTGAAAAGATGAGTGTATTTATCAGTATGTCATTTTTCTTAATGTATTTGGCATGAGACACTAGTATTTTTCGGGGTGAATTTGGTTCTGTTTTGCATAATAAAATGCTCCTAGGTTTCAGGGCACCTACATTTGTCATGTGTTTGACACACAGTATAGAAGTTACAAGTTAATATATTAAGTTATGCTTTGCTGAAGACAGAGAGATTGGGTACTGTTCGTTGCACAGGTGTGGAATGAGTGGATGTGTTCCCAGTCATGAACCAGCTGTGAAAATTAAAGTAGTTTATCAGGAAGGGAAGACATGGACAAAGGCTGGAAACTTGCCTTGTAGGGAAAGGAAAAGGTGAAGTATCTTTGATGTAACCTACCTCCACGGAGATACTTGTATACTTGTGGTTTTTTGTTAATTTCCACACCTTTAATGAATGTTTGAATTTGTCAGTTCCAAATTTTATGACTGAGTAATTTATGTTCACTTTATTTTAATTTGAATTCATGCTGGATAACAGCAAAGCATAAAGTGAATCTGTAGACTAGGAGCAATAGAACACTTCAGACATCTTTGTCCTCCAGCGTATTTTTCATGACACACAAAGGATAACAACAGGGAATCCATTTGAGCTACTTGAGCCATGCAGTGAATTGGCACTCACTGCAAAAGAACAAGAACTAGCCAAGACAGCATTTCTTCTACCTCCTGTTGGTTACATTCCTGAAGTGGATCCATGAATCAAAGACTGTGGGAAAAGTAACAGTGTAAAAATATTTTTACTTTTTTTGTCCCTCATAGCCCGAGAAACTGCTGTAAGGTTGTATTGATACATTACAACTGAGAGAAATCAATTTCGTTTTTTTGTAACAAATGATGGCAATAGTTCCACTTGCTGTGTAGTTGTCTTTTTGAACCATCAGTCTAATGCTTAAGACCTTAAGCTTGCAAGAAAATCTAGTCATTAGGTATCTACCTGCTCACCTGGAATAATGCCTGCTTGGAGAGGCAATAGATTTCTAGGGAAAAATGCAGTAATTTCCATATTTCCTTTCCACAATATGTCATTTTAAGAACTTCACAAATTTGGAGAAATTGGTGAAGTGTATAGTTGCCTCATACATGCCATTCTCTGGCATTATTTATCCACAACCTCATTTTCTGTAGCTACTGGAAGTTTTCAAAATTAGGGAAGTCTTAATTGTTCAGTCATAAATCAACTATCAATCTTCTTTTTGGATCACGAACTTATATCAACAGAAAAAAAATAAGGACAAAAGTTATAATTGGTGAAGAATATTTTAGACAAAACAGTACATTTCAGCTTCATTCATGCACTGCTTGGTCCTCTGATTCACTTCCTAAAAATTTATCGGTTTACTTTGCGTATCCTGACTCAGAGACAGCAGCGTGGATCTTATTGGCAGAAACTATAAGTAGCTTGTGAGTGCTAAAGTCATTCTTCTCAAATCCAAGTGGGTCTAATGGCTGAAAAATTATATTTTGTTTACATGTAAATGTGCAAATTTCTCTACCAGAAAGTTTAACCAGATAGGGGTTAAAAAAGTTGCATTGTTTCACAGCAAACTTGTGAAATTAACTGATCCACCCAGAAAAATGTTTTGAACTACCTATGATGAAATGTGGTGTCACAGAACTGAATGTATGTTTTCCAAATTACTGATTTAAGAAAGACATTTTCAATGCTGAAAACAATATGAAATGTTTAGTGCAAAGCACTAAAAAAAGTTAGAATTGGGAGCTGTTGTAACAGGTATAAAGCAGTACCTGTTCCATTTCAGTTGTTGCAATGGTTTGGGCTATGACCTGGGAACTGCCTTCTCTATAGGAATCTATTTACCTGATTATTTTTAAGTAGATAATAGTTTATTTCTGTTTGCATTTTTTGCCTTATTAATTAAGTCCATGCATCTGCCTGTCCTGTACATTAAACTCTCAGTAATTTCTACTAATTAAGGAACATAAGTCAAGTTTTTTCTGGTAAGGAGCTAAAGATCAGTACAAACAGCATGCTGCATTTATGAGTTTTATTAGGAGCCTTAAGGACTCATTTTCTGGGTCCTAGATGACCTTTGAAGGTGCCATTTATATACAGAAGCAAGTTCTGATAGATCTAGCTTTCATCAGTAATCTTCTCAATAAAATCAATGGAAGGAAAACAAAAACACACCTAAAGCTAAAATAGAAGGAAAACTTCTAAACTGTTGGAAGCCAGGGGTGACTGTAGTTGTGTACTTGGTCTAGCCTAGAGCCATCACGCAGAAACTCCCAAAATTGTCTGCCCTCTGGCTGCCTTTCTCAGTCTGTTGTTGACAACAGGGAGAGGCACTGTGTGTCAGCTCGTTACTGATGCTGACAGTCCATGCATCTCTTCATTAAATGTTTTTTAGGATTGTGCTAACATTGGCAGTACCCCCATTTTACCTTCTGCATCAAACTAAGAACGATTGTTCTGATGTAAGTGGGACTGAAAGGGAGTGGGCAGGCACAGGTAAACTTCCTTTGGCCATCTCTTGCATATATACCGGCATGGGAGGGTTTCAATATTTTCCATAGCTTGCCCCGCTATTTGTTTTTGCCTGTGCTTGGGATGCATTTTTCTGGAGAAGGAAAGGAGTCATGGCCCAGAGTCTTAGTTCTGGCAAGTGGGAAGGAAATGTGTCAGTGTTTGCCCTGCCTGAGGTAGCATTTCAGAGCCCTGGCTGTGTTGCACTGTGTGCATGACTCATAGCAAGCCTTATGGACGTGTCAGTGCCCCCACAGCACCACCTGATAACCCTTGTTTTGGGGAGCAGCAGGTGTGGAGCTGCTCTGCATGGCTCCCTCCCGGCAGCTGCCCAGGCCCCAGGGCTGCTCCTGTCTGGCAGTAGGGAGGGCTTGTGCTCTGGCAACCCTCAGAACACTCACAACCATCCACTAACACCAACAGTTCCAGAAATCTCTCTGAAAGGAAACGAGGGGGGGAAAAAAGAGTTCCCAAGCTGATACTTAGACAATTGTGATTTGTCAAATGGGCTGCATCTCAGTGGGTCTCACTGCCTTCCACATCTTGGGTCGCTTGAGAATTAAAGGTACTGGCTTTGATGCTGAAATCGTAACTGAAGCCTCTTTTACACACGTTTCTGGTAATGCTGATGCCACCACATGCTGTTGTCCTGTTGATCTTTTTTGTTGTTACTGTTACACAGGCTGTTGGTTTTTAATCTCTTCAGCAGCTGACCTAGTGGTTTACCATTTAATCATTCTGCCACCATCCTTGCAGACCTCAGTGTTTCCATAAGGCAGCAACTGTCAAATATTAGTCAGGATTTACTTATTTGCTTTAGTTCTTTACATATGGACTTACTTACAGCTAAGACATGCTTTTTACCTTTTCTAAAAGATACACTTGCTCACAAGGAAGAATGGATTAAAATGTGGATTTTTTACATAAAACAGTTTGCTTATTCCTTCTCCATGAGTGCTGGCAATGTAAGTTGGTCCTTTATAGAAATGAGGAAAAGGGACAGTATTGAATGTGTGTCCTCCTTTTACTAGAATTTAAGCAGGGAAAAGTGTCTTCCCCGCAGTGATCATTCTGAGCTCTTAATGAGAATGCTTGGTCTGTTATTATAGAAGGCTGATAACATTTCGTTTCAAAAATGCTTGTGCAGATACAGAATTTTAAAAGAAGTAAAGGCTCTACAGCTTAAATAGTTACAGCTCAATCTCAGGAATTACTGGCAATGTTATGTCTGCTTTAGAACAGACCATAACGTTGACATATCAGGCTTGTCCCTTCAGACTTAAGAACATATCTGTTGAGATGTTAGACATTTGTCCATTGACTGTAGCTGTACTGTGGTTCCTAAGACATAAAAGACACTCAGAATTTCCTGTTCTTATAAAAGAAAAGGAGAATTTTCATTTTTATGAGATAGAAGTCTGGAAGCAAATTTTGTGTGCTGAATGAAAAAGCACTAACTTTCTGCCATTCTTTTAAAAAAACCTAAATTTGGACCAGGTTGTTTTTCTCCTTGATAGGAAAAGCTTGTCAGCTAGACCTTTGGCACCATTTGCTTTGTGCTATGACTCTATTATACTTTGGGGAGAATATTTTGAACCAGACAGAATGCTGTGGCAACAGTACAATCACATCCTCAAGGAGCACTTGGTGACTTACTTGGTAAGGCAGCATTCCATAAATAATTGCCTCAGCAGGATTCAAACTAAATTTTTTTAATGTAATCTACTGTAACTCAATTTAGGTCCAGGAGGGCATTTTCCCTTTGTTACAATTTTATTACTATATCAGTTTAAATTTTTGTTATTCAGTAATAGATTTATCAGCTCATATTTCTTAAGCTTGTAGGAATTAAACATTGTAAAGTCAATATTTCTGCTAATTAAGGTGGGTTTTGGGAGTGGATAATCAAACAGTGTATGAATCATTAAAAACTTACATGCTAATATTGACTAGCATTATTAGCAAAAGTAGACCAATTCTCTATGCCAGGCACTTCTTTCTTACATTTTTAAAACAGAAGCAAAACACATTCAGTAAAAATTGATATTCTCAGCATTTAATAGTGCAGTGGTGGTCCTTTTTGGATACAAAAGCAACGTGTTAAAATTCTGCACACTCATATGTAGCATTTTCTTTCCCATCATTTAACTTAACAGTAATTAGTGTCTGCCTTCAAAGAGTCTTACTGTGTTTCCACCAAACAGGTGGAAAGCTATGTTCATGCCTCTTACGAACATAATGGATCATTTCTAATTTTTGCCAGTACTTTTTTACCGTCCCAGTGATGTTTTTTTCTAGTCTGACATTGGATAATGTTGGTTTTGCTGTTGGTACTCATGTTTGCATCTGGTCTTCTCAGAGGGTGATAGTGAACAAACCAGTAAGTGATTATTTACTGCCACATCAGGAAATAGCTTCCCTCCCCCCAGTTCCCTTACCATGGAACTAGTGGCTGCCAATGGGACACTGGATGTTGTTAAATTGTTTTATTCTCTGGCATTTGACTGACTTTCACCTTACAAGTATATTCTCAAAAATCTTGGATCTGCAGTCTGATTGAGAGTGACCTGACTATGCTTCCCTCCTGGGTCAGATTCTTGCATGAACAAACTCCTCACGAGCCTTTCTACAAGAACGATATCTCTTTGGCGGGGTTACTTCATGGCTGTATCATGTGCAGGGGCTGCGCCTCTTTTTTGAAGGAAAGTACAGTAGGAGAAAGACTGAAAATACATTCTGAAAATACATTCATATACTCTTCAGGTATAAAAACATAAAGTAGAAAACTCAATCTGACATGAGCCAAGCTTCACATTACTTCTCCTCAGACTGTTTTTCTCTGTGCTTTTTTAACTAGATCACAACTTAGGAGTTATTCTATGGTTCTTCATAACCTTCCTAATTAAAGGAAACTTGGGATCACTGTGGAATTAAAGTATGAGAGTTTAGCTGGCTGGAGGGAAGGAGGTTCCTAAGGAGAAATTATGTCAAATACCATCTGAGCCACAGAAAATTATAAATATGTTATCACTGTATTGCCTGAGAAAGTTTCTCCCTAAAATGCTTAATACATTTTTATTGCCTAATTAGAAGTTCAAAGGAGAAGCTTTTTTTTTTTTTTTTAATGAAAGAGCAGCATTTATCATTCTTATTTTTAAGATTAACTTCTTCAGTTTGCATGGGAAGCTTTGTAGCACTTGCATATTGATTCTCGTAGGCTGTAGTAATTAGAGCAAGTTTTACTCCATCTCTTACAATATCCCTTAACAATTCAAGATTTCCTTCTGTGACTGAAAGAAATTGAATTTGTGTCCCTTAACATCAGCTGGGACAAAGTAACACAGTGAGATACAAGCTCCTTTGGCAGGTGCTAGAGGGTTTGTATCTAAACTAGAGAGAGATAGGCAGGTGTTTGTCACCCCCTGGGACAAGCTACAGTGTGACTTTGCAGGGAAGAGCTGACCTCAGTTAGCAGCCATCAGGTTGAGCAAATTTTGCCCTGCGTCCATTAAAAGGTAGTTTAAACTGGGACTGGAAGTGAGGGCCAGTAAAGAGCAGCGGGTGGTGAGGTCTGTAGCCGAGGCAAGGGCAAGGAACACCAGGGAGCTGGCAGCGACTCTGAATATCCCTTCACTTATATCGTGGTAGCTTTGCTGGTCTGTCCTGCCTGAACTTTAAAGTGGCAGTTTGTAGACATGTGAATTTAGGAAATCACCTTTTCTATAT